GTTATCTTAATTTTCCAGGGAACACAAGCATATCGTCGCAAATTATATCATCTATATGTATCAACCCAAAAATAGAACTAGCTATCGAATTAAAGGAATGATAAGTAGAACAAGCATACTTTCATATAACCCAATGTTGAAATAGTATTATATTTTAATCTAATATGCAGGTTTCAATTAGAAGAAGTCGCAAAAGCAAAAGGATCTCCTTCGACGCTTTTTAAAAATGGAAAGAAAATTCAAATTAGTGATATAATACATACATCCCAGAATTCGATACAGATACAATATTAGAAACCCATTCTTCTTAACAAATTTAAATCTAACTAAATTTTGTTAATATACGGATACACTATTGCACATTTACGGCAAAGATAACTACTATTTTAAATAGTCTCGAGGCATGGTTCTATGCTTGCGAACGCTGTTACAAGAAGGTAGATGAAGATGTTAGTAAAGAGTGTCTGAATGACAAATGCCATAGAATCATTGATGACCTAGTACCAATGTTAAGTAATATATATTTTTTATGACATGAACATATTAAAATACAATATTAACTATCTCTACAAATCAACAATGAAAACTTCAGGTATTTAGTTAAGATTCTCGTGGAAAATAACACGGATAATGCAAGAGTTACACTCTTTGATGCAAAAAAAAAACTCTTATTGGATGCACAGCAGAAAAATTCATTACAGAAAAAATGTAATTGCTAACTCTTCGAGTAATAATTTAAAAAATCAAAAAAATTCATAAGTATTAAAATAACATTTGTTCTCATTGCAATAGAAAAATAATCAGAGTCCATATGTCCAGAAATTCGCGTTGAACATCGAAAAAACGTTTAAATTCCTGGTGAAGTTAGATGAAAAGACAAAAGATGAACGATACGAAGGAAAGATAATAGCACAAGAAATTCAACTCCAGCCTGATATTATAATCGACATAGATGATGCAGATACTACTCTAGAATTTTCCAGAAAAAAGATAAAGGTGGAGAAAGATTGATCTTGGTTAAATTATAAATTTTTAAGTATAATATTTTTTAATCATTTTATGTCATAACTTAATTTTTAGTACAATTAGGAATTTTTATAAGGGATTTTCATGCAAAATTATTAGTATTTTTATATGCTTATGTGATTGCTTTCATCACATAAAATTACACTTTAATATTTAACTGTTTCTTGTCATTTATTATTGTCTAAGTATATGATCTTGCATTTATAATATGTTTGTGGTCCCTTCATCAAGTTACCATTGTGTTGAATATTATCTTCTTCATTACTTTGAAGGTTTGGATTTTTTTGGTGTTCTGTGGTTAGAATATTGTTGATCATTTTATATAGCTCAAGATAATTTTGAACACTTTTTCTAGGAGTTTGTTTATTAAAGTTTAGTGTTGCTGGGTAAAATTTGTGGATTTTTTCTTTGTGTGATTTCTTAAAGTTTTTTTTTTAAATTGGGGATAAAATAGGATTGATTCGGTGTTATGTGGTTAGAGCAACTCGATCAACATCTTTAGGTAGAGATAGTTATAATGCACATTATTCTTTGGAGTTCGTTTCGTTTTTGTGGGAGATTGTTCAGTGAAGTTTAGTTCTATATATAAAGCCTATTTGCATTCTTCCAATTGATTTTTGTAACATTTTTTTCTCTTTTTGATTTTTTTATGTATGCTCGCAACTACTGAATTTTATCTTAACAAGTTTTATGATCCCACATTTATGATATGTTAGTGGTCCCTTCATTAAGTTACCTGAATATTATCTTTGGTCTTATTATGATGAACTATTTCTTAGTTTAGCATTATATTTTATTTCTCCCCCCTTACTTTGATATCTGGAAGTTTCTCTGCTATTTAATTATAGTACCCTCTATTTCCCCCCTAATATATACCGAGACCATGTTTAACGTATTATACATTTAGAAAAGTATAATGCACCTATGTGTTAGGTCTCATGTTTAATGTGAGAAAATATTAACCATGTTTACTATTTACTGTTGTGATGATTTTGCTTGGGGTTATTACAAACTTCAATATTCAATGTTCTTTAAAAAAATTCTTGCCTTACTAATTGTTACTTGTTTAGATTGTTGCCATGTTGAATAAGTGACCAAATTTGATCAAGATTTACTTTCATACTCTAATTAAGTTCCTGTTGGGTGTTGATGGTGGTGATAAATTTTAACTTCTTCGAAGAAAACTAATTTACAAGTTTGCAGTAAATCAGATAGTGACCTTAGCTTTTTGAGTCAAAAATTATTTGAATAAACTTAATTTTTTGAATATTTTATTTATTGCTATAACTATAGTTCATAATGATAATTACAATATCTCAGTTAGGTATATTCATCCCAGTTTAACTTAAAAAACCAATACATTTGTTTTTATTAATATTTAAATAAAATACTAATAATTTAATAATTCAATTTTACATATTTGAATTTAAGATGAATTTGACTTATTTAAAGTAAAGAAATAAATATAAAAAAAATATTTTGATATTTTACCACGTGCATTGCACGTGCATATAAACTAGTAATGCTAAATGTAACAAATAGACTAATTTCAACGCAGTTCATAAATTTTTATTTGTGTGTGTGTGTGTTTTCGAAGGAGGGGTTGGGACATTTTTTTTTGGGGGTGGGGAGGTGGGTGGGGCGGAGCTAATTTGAGAAACTAATTTCAAATATAAAAGAGCGAGGAGGCTAATTGCAAAAATAAAAGATTAAAAAGGTACTAATTTCGTATATCAAATATTTGGAAGTTCGAGGGGGTGGGCGGAATTCAAACAAGAAATGTCTGAGGTACTAATTTCAAACATGAAACATTGGACGGTTAATTTCAAACATGAAAGATCTGAAAAGACTACATATGCATAAACTCATGCACCTTAGCCTATATACTACGTGAGTGAAAAGCTAAGAAAACCATGTGCCGCTCGGGTCCAACTATTCACACTTCCAAACAGTAACTTTGGGGGGGTGTGAGGACTAAATTGCCCTTCTCCCAAACCAAAACAGGTCAAGTCCATTCCAGAAACACCATCAACATCAAAAAGGCATTTTCGGCAATCTAACTCCTAAAATTACTATTTGGGAGTGGATATAGCAAACATGGTGCCGCTCTTACCCCTTTGCTCAGCCAGCACCACGTGTTCAAAGGACTGGGCAAACACGCAAATTTTTAAAGAAGAAAACAAAGGGCGAAAGAACTTTGGAAGCCTATCCGTGACCGCTGGCTTCATTCTCCCTCGCTTTTTAATCTCTTTTGTGCGCATCCCAGGTCCACGACACTGCCAAAATCTCAATCCCAATGGCAAATAGTACGTAAGCCGCGGTATGAATAGGGTCCGAAATCCATGACGCTTATGTTTTAAGGCTCGGCTATGAAATTTTCTCGTTTCTAAACTTACAGTTGGGCTCAGCCCAAGATGACACATCGCGACTGTAAACGGGCCCAAAACAAGTTTGAAACAGGAAAAGAGATTGGTTTCTTTGTTGGACAAATTTTTAAAACCAACTCATTTTCAAACTTATTCATCAAAAACGACATATTTGAAACTTATTTGCCAAAAGCCAACTGACTGAAACTGGATTGTTTTTCGTAAAAAAAAAAACCAAACTTCACGGGACTTGAAGTCCCGTGAAGTTTGGTATTTTTTTGCCAAAAAGGACCTAGTTTCAGCCAGTTGGCTAAACTGGGTCGCTTTTGGCAAGTAAGTTTCAAAGAGGTCGTTTTTTACAATTATTTTTTGAAATGAGTTGGTTTTCAAAATTTGTCATTCTTTGTTTGGTATGTCTGCATTTCGGATATCCGAGTGCCTTAATAAAGCCCTACATGCAGATAGACTCCAAAATCATTTGGTTAATAATTACAAGCAACTGATAGGTTAGGATACGTGTGATGCCCCATCCTTTTTTCTTTTACAAAAAAATTTACGAGCGACCAAACATAATCCCACCTATTTTTGGTGGGAGGGGAAACTCGATTAAAGGAGCTTATATTAAGAGAGAAGGTTCAAGTTCTAGTCTTCATATTTTACGGAGCTATGAATAGATATTGTCACGTCAGACGCATTTAGAGACATCTTCATCTGAGAGAGCATTTGTCTGTAGACGAGAGATCTCTCAAACCTTAACTAAGAAAAACCTCTAGAAAATGGGCCCAACTTAACTCTAGCCTACCTCCGAGTAAACAAAAGAGGATCAGAATCTTAAATGGCTTATGTGGATTTCACCCCTCTAGTAAAAGATAAAAAAAAAGAACCCCTCCTAAACAAAAATTAATATACTTTTGGGATGTAAATGTGAACTTTGTTGTTTAACAACTTGTTTATTGAAAAACTAAGATCATAGAACTTTTCAATTTAGAGCGTACTTGGCAAATGGTCAGAGTGACTTATAGGACACTTTGACATGTTTGACAAGTGGTTTATTATAGTTTTTATCATCCATTAAAAAATAGGCTAGGCATACTAGCTTATTTATTGGTGGATTATAAGCCAAGAGGTTTGACCATGTAAAAAACACTTATGCCCCCCGGGATTTCACAAAATTCAAGGTCTCATTTTAGCAACCCACCACAAAATTCTTTTTGGTCATTCTGATGATAACAATAAGCCATCCTTTTGCCAGAACACAATATTACTGAAAATGAATTACATTCCACTAAATTTTCAAGCATCGTAGATTATAATCTGCTTAAATTATAATATAATATAATCCAAAGTTTTCAAACACGCTCTCAGTCCCATATAGTAGCTTATTTCTGTTCACACAATCAAAAGTAATTATGGAAGTGGTTAAAATTTTAATTGATTAATGAAGTTGTAAAGATCTGCAAAATTTCATTATTCTCAACATTGATTGCAAATGCAGGCTGAAATTACAGAGTCAATGAATCAAGCTTGGACTTCCAAAAACTAGAAAGTGGGGGGATGTGACTGCAATCTAAAAAAAGGCGGTTATAATAAAATGAGACAGTAACCCTAATTACTCAGCAGCCTCCCCTTTTTTTCTCCCCCTAAAACCCTTTCTCCCTTCTCTCTCCCCTCCTCATTTTTTTACACCCAAAAATGGAAACTTCGCCATTGAATCGGCTCCCTGAGGCCCACTCTTTGCCCGATGGCTTCGTCGAGAGCTCAGCAGAGTCCCCTCGCTCCCACAACAATCAAGAGAAGGAGGACGAGGGGCCGAAGGATTATAAGGAGATGGAGGAACCGTCTCAGCCCCAAGATGGAGTCTTGATCGGGGTTTGCCCTAATGAAGGTTCGAAGGACCCTCAGATTTCAGAGCAAGGTCTTGATCTTTAACTCTTTGAGAATTTTCGCAAGTTTGATTCTTTGTTGTTAGTTTTAAGAGGCTGGAAGTCGTATCCAATAAGAGGATGCAGATTATTCTGACATTGCAATTTGCAAATACAACATTTGGTCTTTGATTATAGTGACAGTGTGGACGTTTAGAAAGAACTTGGTGATCGAAATTTTGCATAAGTTTTCGACCTGAAGTGATGTGCATATCTCTTTCCTGATTTTCTCTCTCTCTGTGAATGCGAGCTAATGGGCTTATGCAGTTACTGGATTTCATTCAAAGCTGAAAATTATGATGATATGACACTAAACATATTATGTTTAGGATATTTCTTATAATAGATCTTTGTTGGTGACTCCTTCTAATGTATGTTTCTTTCATGTGAGAGTTGATATGATAAGTATAAGATCCAAAATGTATAGAACTTTCATTCTGATGGGTTCTCATTCTTTCATGAATAAATTTTGCAGAGACAGAACGTTGCACAGAGTCACATTCTACAGACGCGAAGGAAAAATCTGTTACAGCCGACTACACTGAGAGTCTGAATAGACAGAAGCTAGTAAGTAATATTTATCTATATTGATTTTCTATATCAGTATTTCCCTGGCATATAAGCTTGTGAAAATAAATAATTAGCTTAATATTGCTAAGATTATAATAACATGACTCACAGGATGTTATTTGTAGCTAGCATTTTAGGGTGCAATATGGGGGAAAAGCTTCACAGTAAAGTGTAATGAAGCAGGGGGAATTTCATAATGAGTGACATTCTGAGAAGGTCTTGTTTGAACAATGGTGAAAGAACCAAACACGAGTAGAAGTATTTGAAAATTGGAACTAAGTGTCACATGAAGCTACATAGATAAAAAATGGCATACCACATACGGAATGTTGACTCCATATTTTGACTTTCACCATATCCACCCCCTCTGAGGTGACTTTTAGGGAAGTAGAAATCAACTCTTTAATTCGTGAGAACCGTCTCTGGAATCCATAGAGACCACCATTAGATTCTAATGTTGTCATGTGAAGTGTTCATTTCTGGGCAAGGATTGCCATATCCTAAACGAGGTAGTAGATCACACCCAAGCAATATCGAATATTGCGTCATGAAATTTGAGATACAGATAACTCTGATGTATAATTATGTTGATGAACTGAAGAAGAAATGAAGAATTATAGCTATTATATTTGTAAAGGAATGGGAGACCTCCATACTCAAGCTTGTTTGGATAGAGAGACTTCAGGATGAGGGACGAGACGAGTGTCCTCTTAGGAGGTTCTTGCTCGGGATGTGACACTGGTGGGATATGGATGCAAGTACATATACGTATATTTGTGTACTATGCATGTAAGTATGAGTACCTTGACACACTTCACTCGCAAAAATACATGGTCAGTGCACTTTATGAATGAAACATGATATGATAAATCTAAAAAATTAAGGATATCAAATATCAATAGTCAATACTTTGGAAATACAACAGCAATAAATTATAGATGTGTGTGTTTATGTTAATGTCCATTAGTTATAGCAGGTTCATAAGGTTAAAATGGTGAAAGCAGCACTATCTCAAAGATTATGAAATATTTTCAAGCTGTTTAAATTATGTTGACAATCATAGTTGTTATTAAGAATCTATACATTATATAAATGCAATGCATTTACATTCAGATAGATTTGTGAACCAATCATTTGTAAATGGATTTTCAATTTCTTACACTTGAATACATATATGATATATTATTGATAAGTCTAGGACAGTTTGGGATTTTTGGGATACATCAGTTGGGGTATCCTCAGCGTATCCATCATGTATTGAAGTATTCAAGTACTTGTTATGTACCATTTATTCTGAGTGGCAATATAGCTTTCTGGGGTGACCAAATGAGTGATGTTTCTTATTCTAAATCTGATAGAACTAAGTTATTATATTTTCCCTTAAGCATGAGCTGAGAACATGCAATAGCTTATATTGGAGTTATAGGCGTTAGGCAATTATGTTATACCCCCAAAATGATTATCTTGAAATTCAGTTAAGATTGAATGTCTCTCACGAGCATACCTCTGACTCGTGAAATTAGACTTTGTGATATATTTCCTTTCCATTATATGCTTAGTAAACACTGGCAATACCACTATTATGCTTTAGAACGACCTGAGAGCATCCAACAGCTTATATTGAAGCGTTATGTGATTCCATTACACTCACAAAATGAATTATCTCAAAATTCAATGATATAACTGATTCATTCTTGCATTTTTCCTACTCATCAAATCAAACTTGTGATGTTCAGTTTTTTAATAAGATTCTTAGTAAATAATAGTAATCTCTCTATCTCTATTGTCGGTTTAAAACTTTTTCCCTCACTTCTAAGGTGATGTTAGTATAAAGCATAGCTTGTCTATAAAATTTACTTGAGTCAATTCTTTTTATTGCTTTCCTGTTTGAGTGCATAAAGACAAATCTTGCTTCAAATAAAGTCTATTCTCCTTAGCTTGCTAATGTTGATTGGGTTGAACTTACTGTATTTTGTTCTTATTGGTATTTTAGGAAAATGCTGAAGTGAAACGCAAGGTTGGGAAGCGCAGTGCAAAATTGGAGAAAGAGCTACTAGAGTTTACGTTGAAATATCAAAAAGTCATAGCAGAAAGAGATGCTGGCAAGTATCAGTAACTTATCTTTGTTATTGACTCGAGAAACAAAGAAAACACAGTTGACTGGCTGGTGGAAAAATAAGTGGATAACCGTAAAGAAAAAGAAATGAAAACAACATTTAATAAGTAAACAACAGAAGCTTTCATTGGCATAACTGAAAACAGTATTATTCAAAATCTGTCAAAATCTGCTCTTTCTACTATTTTGGTTAATGTTTACATCAAGCCTTTTGTCATAAAATAGAGTTGGTTCTCAAGCAATAAAATCATGCTAGATAACAGTATATAGTTTTTCAAGCTTTATGACCAGCTGCTGTTGCACTCAAATCCTCTTTGTGCTGCCCAGTTCATAGCAGCAAAGCTGTGATACTAAGTTGTATAGAAATGGGTACGGGTACCGATATGGGTGTGGGCGTGCGTGCAGGTACGGGACGCAACAAATTTGTGAATTATAGGGTACGGGGATAGGGCTACACATATTGAAGTTAATAATTTACATGAGATCATTATTATTTTTCAATTCATATGCTATTTGAATTTAAATTCCTATCATATTTTTAGATTTCTTTTATTTTGTTCATTATTATAAATTGGAAACTACTCCTTTTTTAACTAGGCACTCCAACCCAACCTTTTAAATCATAGTTTGTAACTTGGATATGGGATGAAACAACCGGACCTATGTCTAACGAGTTTCAAGAAATGGACATGAAGTGTAGGATATGCGTCCAGGAAGTGTATGACGAGTGTTTTAAATTAAAACATATATCATATAATTGAGTAATTGTCTGGATAAATGTATACATTTATCCAAGGAGTGTCAATGAAGTTTGGGTACAGAGTACGTGTCGGGCACGAGTATTGGTACGGCTTCATGATAGAAGTACCTAGGTAACATCGTTGTGATGTAAACCTTTAACTATCTGGTGTTACATTGATATACCTTTTCTACACCATGCATTGTTTAAGTTTTTCTGATTAAAGAGCAAAACTCAAATTTCCACTAGGAGAGGAATGACTCTAGGCGAACAATTTGCTGCATGGAATTGCTAGTCCCAAAGCCCAACAAAGAGAAATGGAATCACCTTTCGTATATAGCAGTCACTAGATGCTAGAAGATAATGAGGGGTTCGATTTAGAGTGGAAACTGCTGCTAGCTAAGGTCATTTTAGGTTCGTGCTTAGTAGAAAGTCCTGGTTTTCTTATTTGTTTCTCACATGTATCCATCCCAATCAGAATTCTGTGCGTTTTATTAGGTATAGCCGGTGGATAACAGACAAGTTTCCATAGTCAATCTTTTATAATTATACCTCCTGAATATCTCCAATGTATTTTCTTATTGCACATGACGACTGGATAGTATACTTAAAAAAAGCCTAAGACAATCGCGAAGAGGTGCCAAGCTGATTTTATGACTCAAATCCTTAGTCTGTTTCTTGTGGAACTGAAAGAATAACCTTTTATTTGGTATACTTCATAGTTCATATAATTATGTAAGTTTATTCATGTCATTGCAAAATGTGATAGAATGTAACGTCATAATTGTGGAAGGCATTAGAAGAATGATATGAGAAATGCAAATCTGTTAACTCTATAGTAGAATATATAATCCTGTAAAATAATTGGTGTACCCCATAATATTGTTGGTCATAATCTTAAATGTTAGTGTATTGATAGAGACACAATATGAGAAACAGGATGCACCAAGTTGTTTACAGAACAATAACTTGTCTTAAGTGCAGAATTGCTTTCTTTACTGGAACATCTGCTAGAATTTTGCAACAGATGGTAGGACATGATGCTTACGCAACTGTTTGAATAAAGAGAGAAAATACTTAGAACTTACCTCTATTGCAAAAAATAACAATCGGCTATCAACAATAAGGTGCTGGATCTTGTATTCCTAATTGGCTAATTGTACCTTTTGGATGAAAATGTAACCCCACGTTCTCCCTCAAAAGTAGGATTACATTTGCATTTTTTAAATACCAAGACTATTCTTGAACCATGGGACCTTAACTCCTTACCATTTTTATGTTCTGGCTAAGTTAGATGCTGCCAGGCCTCAACTCTAGCCTAACTCCTGTTGCTAAATACATCCTTAGTACGCTAAGAAGGCTACAGCTTGGAGAGATGGTGCCACCAGCTTCTGCAACTAATCCCTTGTGTTATCCGTTGCATTTGTTTTCATCACCTACTTATAGTTATTGTATACATGCATGTTAACCTATGTTACCCGGATACTTCTATAATGAAGCCGTACCTATACCGGACACTTTCCCGTACCCAAACTTCATGGATGCTTCTTGAATATATACATGCATTTATTACAACATGTACTCAATTATACAATATGTGTTAATTTAAAGCACTTGTCAAACACTTCTTGGACGTATAACTTACACTTCACATTTGTTTCTTGAAACTAGTTAGATATGGGTCGGGTTCGTTTCAGTCCATACCCAACTTCAAAACTATATAGTTAAAGGATCGTTTGGATGTCTAGTAAAAATGAGTAGTTTCTGATTTATGATAATCATTATGATAAAAGAAACTTAAAAATATGATTGGAATTTTAATTCTAATGACACATGAAGCAGAAAAAAAATGATCTCATAAACATTTATCCGTGTCCTCATACCCTACATTTTACAGTTTTGCCGTGTCCCGTAGCTGCACCCGTACCAGTACCCGTGCCCGTTTCTGTCCAAGTTAGATGTTAACTGTGGTAGAATATGTTTCTTTAGAGTTACCTGTTCATGATAATGGTTTGTTCTGATATCCTGATTTTTATCATTGTTGTTAGCCATAGGATAAGGGCATATATAGTCAATGAAAATGTTTCCTGTACAACTTGTAGGTGCAATTAATTGGCCTCCACTGTGGAAGCTTGTATTCAAGGAACCATCTATTTTAGCTCAAGATAAGGGCAAAGCATTACGTCACATTGGTCGATCAGATTGTATGAAAAAGAGGAAAAAATAAAAAAATAAAAAAATAAAAAATAAAATAAAAATATAAATAATAATATAAAAAAGGAAAAAGAAAAAATAATAATATAAATAAATAAATAAAACCTCTTTCTTAAACATCTAATCTTTTGTTCTTTTATATAAATATTATCTGATTTCGTTTTCACTTTTATCTTGTAGCTGTTGCTATGCGAGAAAGGCTTGAATCACTTTGCAGGGAACTGCAACGTCAGAATAAAATGCTTATGGTAAATTATCCAATCGAAAGATGGTGTCCACTTGACTTTTACATATTTTCTGGCTAACAACCGTATTTATGATCTTTCTTTCTCATTTTAAATTGTGAATGATACCTGTTGACAATTTACTTATCCTTTGTGTAACGTATCGCCAAATTAACTTCTTGTTTTTCAATCCTCAGTGTTTTACTTGTAGATTTTACCTTTTTAGTGATCACATCTTTCCTCTTGTGGTGTTGGAGCTTATTGCGGTGGGATTATAGATAATAGATGCTTGTTTCTCTATAATTTATAACCGAGCTTTGTATACAAAGCAAAGAAAGGGTTTTGGATTTGGCTTTACTCATGACCTAAGTTGCATGGATATGGGTACGGGTGCGGGTACATGACATGGCAAATTTGTGAAAGGAAAGGGCACATGGACATTGCTGAAATTCATGGGCTGTAATAATCTTACTTCTGAGTTAGATAGATATGCAAAGGACCCTTTGAAATTGTACTTAAGGCTGAAACAAACTCAACCCTTGTCCAACAATTTCCGAAATGGATGTGACGTGTAGGATATATGTCCAAGAAGTGTATGCTGAGTGTTTTAAATTAAAACAATGAATTGTATAAATTGATTTCATGTCTGAAATCTGAATAAATGTACACATATATTTAAGGAGTGTTCATGAAGTGTCGGGTATGGTACGGGTACGACACGCGTTGGATACATGCATGTCTTCATGATAGAAATACCCTGGTAACATAGCTCATGACAATTCTAAAATTGTTTCCTATTGATTTCACTCATTTTCGGAATAGAGATTAAGGTCTTACTGGACTCTAGGACAAGTTGGGAAAGCCAAAGGATAGTTGGTTCATCAATCTCTTTTCTTTGGCAAGATAAGCTTCATTACTCGTGTATTACCTGGTTCGCCCTTGGGAACAACCTCACCTGAACCTCGATCAGGGAGTTCATGCACTTCAGCCTATCGCCCACCATAAAGTTCCTATGAACTACGAAATTCGTGGTTGCTTATTACCTAGCAACAAATGCTCTTCTTTGATTCGTAAGTTTTACTTAAGAGGTCGCAATCTTGACGCAGTTTCAACTTACGAATTAACTCTTCCATTAGCACACCTGTTTGTACGCAAGGCTTGTAGAGAATCTCCCTTTTATACCGTGAATTCTGTTGACTTTTTATTTATTCATTAGTGTTTTCTTTTCTGTTGCCCATCTGCTTACTTTAGCATGAGATAGACAGTGTTAGTTCAAAGAAGAAGGGGATCTAGCGGTACAATATGGGAAAGGAATCCTAAAATATATAAAAGAAGAACAGGAGAAAATCCAAGCCGTTCATAGCATACTACTATTGATTTGGTATAGCATGAAGCATTTAGAAGTTAATTTATGGAAGGCTTTTTTTTTAAAGCATCTTACCTGTCCTTTATTTGGTGTAGCTGCTAAACCTATAATTTGTTTTAGCAGTATACTTGACCATGATATAATCTGCCTTTTAAACCGATGTAGTATTTATATCTTGTTGCAGCTTCTCAAGTATAGAGGTATTATTCCAAATGTGAATAAGTTTTAGTTTATACTATTTTCATTCTTTTGAGGAATTTATCTAGTTTTAGTTTATACTATTTTCATTCTTTTCAGGGATTTATCATTCTAACAACTAATTATCTTTTGCTGGTATGCATTGTGTTTTCACAAACTACTTATGCACATATTTGGTTTTCATTTGAACAGGATGAATGCCAGAGAGTATCAACAGAGGGACAAAATATGAGATTAGATTTGTCTAATAAGTTTAATGATGCGATTAAGGTATGGAAATTGAACTACAAATAGTAGTGTATCTTATGCTCGGCGATGCTTTTGTGTTGGTAGTAGTATTCATGTATTTATTATATGTTCCTTTTAAGGATGCATTCTTTTGATAAATTGCAGACTTTTTATCAATTTTATTTAGTAACTAATGGTGCAATAGTTTCTGTATTGAGCTTCTAGGATGTTAGCATTAAGCTAGAGGAACAGAAAGAGGAATGCCTTGCTCAACTCAAGGAAAATGAAACGTAAGCATCTTCTTTATTCTGGTCATAGCTTAATCATACTAGATACATGGATATTTCTCTATCAGATAGAGCTTTGGCACTTTGATTGGTAAAATTTCTTGGATTTTCTGATCAAATTGTTTTGTTCAAGATATGGTCTTCCTAGCTCAGTAGCTCCTATTCCTTAAAATAAGGAGCCTGGTGATTTGGAGAAAAATTATCCTGTAGTTGTACTTTGTGCAATTTGTACATAAATATTTTGTTCTTACAAATGGGAAATTGGACGAGGAAGATGCAGGCCAAGTTATCTTCTTCGAATAAAATAATATTTAAATGCTCTAAATTATAACAAGTGCAGTTTTTGTTGAACGGACACTTATCAAACACCATTATCCCAAAAAAAGGAGCTAAAATGATAACATTGAGATGAATGAGTGGCAATATACTAAGAAAATACAACAATAAATGTTTGTTAGTTTGAGTCAGTTTCCCTTTAGGATAAATTTAGGGAAAGCTGATCAAAATGATTTGAGCATATGCAGGTATTAAGTGGCATAACTAGGAGCACAGAGTCATAATTGATGGAAGAATAAGAAATGTAGGCCTAGGCGAACATTTAAGAAGGAAAGGGTTCATGTAGCTACTTCAAAAGTTCGGGATAAATACTTCATCTATTTTTTATAATATTTTGTCCAAGGATAATGGTGATGGCTGAAAACATTTTGGTTACGGTTGTTTAGGTCAGTTTTGAGGCCGACTTGTCATAAAATTTTGTTGAAAAACTTTAAAAGCACTTGAAATCCTGAGAAAACCATCATAAAATTGGAAGCCAAACTTACCTTAGATCTGCAATAGCAATGCATTTCGCGTCTCCCCCAACGTAGATCTATTTGCGTTTACCTTTAACAGATGGTAACTCTAGAATCGGATGGTAACTTTAGAAAATGGATCATATTAAGAGGGTCGGATTAGATCCAAAAGCAGTTACCTATAATAGTAGTTTTTCATGCTTGATGCCCATGAATAGGCGTTGTATTATCATTGGCACGACCTGTATCCAGTACCTTTTAAGAGATGGATCAGATGGTTACCTTTAACAAATAGGTTGGATTGTGAGGGCCTGAAACAGACCCAGATGCAGTTACCTATACTAGCTGTTGTTCGTGCCCATGATATATGGGTTGGATTATCATTCACATGACTGATACTCAATGCTATTTACTTTATTCTGACTTATAGCATTTACCATCAGGTTCTTTATCAGTTCATAATTAAGCTGTCACCTGTTCTGTTTCAATTAGTTTTATACAATCTCCATGCAGAATTTAACTTAAACAATCATGTTTTCTGTTATATGGAATTGATGATGTACATATTCAACTTCCAGATAATACATTAACATGAAAGTCAACCTAAGATACATAACTTCACCAATCACGTTTTCTGTTATATAGAACTGATGATGTTCGTATTTAGCTTCCAGATAATACATTAGCATTAAGGTCAATTTAAGATGAAACTTGTCGAAACCACTGGAATTCAATTTTGATGGATTGTAAGGACTTCATGAACCTTTGGTCGTGTTTCAACAGGTATCTGAGAAGTTTCTGAACCTCTTTCAAGCCGTCTGAGATTTCTAACCATAGAGAAGTAAACTTTGATTTTTAATGTAATATCCAAATCAGAGCTCCTTTTATACTTTTTTGCTATCTATAAGACAGTCCATTATATCCATTAAGCATATATGCACATTAATTTTCTTCGTTGCATCATTGCTATTATTAGAGATACTTGAATGAACTAATATATATAAAAATATGTTGCAGGCTAAGGAGCAAACTAAAACATCTTGCTGATCAATACACTCTGACTGAAGAGCAGTTTTCGCAGAAGGTAGGTGCTGTAGTATTCAGAGCTCACTAAGTACTGTACAAGGTATCAGTTATTCATTTTTTATTTAAATGAACATTTTCATCTGCGTATGGTTTTCCATGCTGACTACCCATTGTCGCTTGTATGAATATTCTGCAGTTGAAACAAAAAATGCTCGAACTGCAGCTTGCTGATCTCAAAATTCAACAACATCAAGAGAGGTCAACTCAGGAACATACCCAGATGCAATTATATGCAGAGCAGGTTACTCAACTATTGACCACTGAGAAAAGTTTACGATTGCAATTAGCAGCCGATGGAGAAAAATTTCAGCAATTTCAGGTTCATGTTCGTTTTATTTAAAGTTTGTAGTACTAAAGATTTTCTATTTTGAGAAGTTTGCCAGATAGTCACCAAGCATACATGGTTATTTCTTTTTAGTGCTTGTGACTTGTAAAAGTTACGAATAAAGTACCTGAATTTAGCATTGGGTTAATACTCTATCGTGGTCATTTTATAGAATACATTTGAACTTTATATTTCCCTTAAACCTTAAATAAGTTTGCAGCCCTTAGTCATATCTTCTTTTCCCTGTCAACTATATTTTGGAATGGGAAACTAAACAAACGTGATTGAGATTTGCTGTGATGAATGCAAGGCACCTTGAAATATGTCCAATCGATAGAAATTTAATTCTAGGGATGTGTATTTGTATAAATAGGCATATTAAAATATATTCTAATTTAATTCAATGGTGTATATATAGAACCTCCCTTTTCCTATTACAAAAGATGGACCAAAGAAAATAGGTCAGGTTATGTAACAGAATATATTGACATTAAAAAAATAAAATAAAATTATCTGCGATGCTGGCACAAAAGACATCCAGTTAGTTATACATTCTGGTAGAACCTTCGCATCGTGCAGCATGATGCATGTTCAATATTTTTTAAGGAATAGAACCAGATATAAAAATATGAGGACTATTTGTGAACCAGCAATGGGTTCCAATGGTAACAATGTAAGGATCACTGTTAGGTGGGCCGTGCACCCTTGGCAAACGGGTGATATCAGAGTCAACCTCAGTAATCCTTTACTGAATTCACCAGCTGTAGAAAAATTGACGATACACACAGTCACACACAAATATCATATCTTCTAATTCTCTGATCTCTTCCACGAAATGCATGAGATGCTTATGAAGGGGAAATTGGCAGATATAGTATGTGTCGTGGTGCCCATATGAAGTTTTATAGGAGGATTCTTTTTATGGATCTGGTTGTGTAATTTTTTATACCAGCTGAACATTAGAAAAGAGTAATTTATGGGGTCTGATTGGGCCATAAACAATCCCATTTATGAACTCTTTACGGTCCTTAATATCCGTCCCTTTATAATGTGTACTAACTTAATGTAATGAGGGGCTCGGCAACCTGCAATATCAAGCTGCTGACTTGTCTTGTGTCTAAGTATTCTCTCCTTCACCCTCCTAGCAGAATTCAACTCTAGATTATTTTATTATTATTATTTCATGAGTTGTTACTTCCCACATGACAAGTACTCTCTTTTTCTTTTTGGTGCTTAGTAAATTAGACTATCCTAAACAATTTTCATATATGAAACTGTGCAGGAAGCTTTGCTGAAGAGCAATGAAGTCTTCGAGACATTTAAGCAGGAGATGGAGAAGGTATACTTGTCTTTGCTGACAATTTCTCTGGTATAGAGTATGGATACTTATGTGATGTTTTGTGGATTGATTGAGTTTGTTTTCATGCAAGGCTTATGATTGGGTTGTTAAGAGTCTTAGGTTGGTGCTGGTTTTGGTCTTTGATCGGAAAAAGTATTGTGTTTGATCTGTATAAAATTAGATTAAAACTAAACTAAAATAATGTTGTTTTACAGATGGGAAAGCTAATAAAGGAGCTTAAGAAAGAAAATGAATTTCTGAAGGGTAAATGTGAGAGGTCCGATATTGCACTTGTGAAGCTTGTGGAGGAGGTAAAGAATTACATGCATGGAAATTTAGAAAGTGATTGTTCTCTTTGACTCTTAATCAGGTTTTACTTTATCAAGCTTCATAGACTTTCTTTTATTCTTTATCATGTTTGGAATGTTAATCCGCTTTTCTGTGCAGAGCGTGGTTTGTTATTGTTAGCTTATTGTTCTATTTTATGCAAAACATGTCTCTACTTTACTCGTGTTGAACTAGGAAATTAATGATGAGTGACTATGTTTCATCTAGGTCATAAGCTAAATGGCACAAGAGCATGGAAATCCTTATTTGACATTTTACCATTTTCCTTTGTGTATATATTGAGTGTCATTTTATCCTCAGTCCAGTTATTGTTTCATGACTTTGTTCCCCAGATCTCAAGAATCTAGAATGGATCATCTGGCCTGAATTCCTTGTCTTCTTACAGATAGAGACTGTATTTTCACCACTGTTACTTTATTTCAGCCTCCTTTCCTATTGGGTTGTCTACTAAGAGTTCACCTTGATCACTTGTTTGATCCAAGTCTCTGTATTGTAAATGATTCAAGCATATCTACAGAGAGCATGGTAATGCACAATATTTCATTTAGCATGATAATTAAACTCAGTATCACTCCCAAGTCACCAAGATGTCATGAGAAAATGATGATGTCACAGTTGTCACACAATGAATTCCATAAATATAGAACCAATTTAAACTTGATGTGAAGAAGTAGAGCGCAGAAAAGATCTTCATAGTTCATATTATTATAGCCATTCTGAAAGCATAGTGCACAATACCAAGGGTTGATGTGGTAATTTTAAAAGAAGCTGTATCCATTGTGGGATTCAAGGTAAAACTATGTGTATGAGGGAGATGTCTAGTGAAAAGTGGTGCCTGGAGCCTGGAGCCTGGAATACCGATCCGTGAATTTCACCAAACTTTAGCTTAGCATACTATTGATGTTTATGAAAAGTTCTCTAGCGTAATGTGGAAATGTGGTCCACCCAACAAAAAAAAGAGAAAAAAAAACCCCCCCACCCCACCACAAAAAAAATATTATTTTTGACTCTCCCTTTTCCATCTTGCAGCGTGAAATCATGAAGAAACAGCTCGAAAAGATGAAGAACCAAAAAGAAAAGCTAGAATCATTGTGTCGATCTCTACAGGCAGAGAGGAAGCAGAATTCTGTGGGCAGTTCAATTATTGTGCAAGCCAAAGTAGGATCTACTGAGGAAGACTCATCAACTTGAACTCAGTTTGTAGCTTTCACCTCCGAAAGTCTTGGAATTTGGTTCTCTGTTGTCTGCCAACAAGTCACAAGCATCGGCTGAGCGAGATGAGTTCTCTTGCCAGTTTCCGCTGGCATTTAGATATCTCAATTCTTTTTATATCCAACAATAGGATATCATTTGTATCTATGGTTTTACTTGCGCAAACATTTGGTTTGATGTGGATATTGTAATCCATGGAGTTTGGTGAATTGCGAGGATACTGTTTGCTTGCGTGGACATTAGAACAACCCCTGGTCAAAAACCTTGCAATCCTCGAGGTTTATCGTGAAGTCGTCTATCTTGGAAGAAATGAATCTTAATTGCTAAATTCGGTGTTATTTATTTTTTTGATTGTTGAAAACCATATTGCAGCAGGCCTCCAATTATCGAGACATGTACATGGGCATCATGTTTCTGTTGCGTCTTAAAGGTCATTAAGTTTGATTTCCATATGAGAAGCAACAATTTTGGATGGTGTTCATGAATATTGGATGCTTAAATGAGACATCGGTACAGTTCTGATTGCATGCTTCTCCAAGCTCTCTCTCTGTGTGGTAAAGAAACCATGGTCTTGGTGAGTTCGCTGAGGCCGGATTTCTTTTATCGAATATCAAAGAAGGAATGAGATCATGAAGCTACATGAATTTTCCAAGCTAGAAGGTGACATAAACCAAGAAGTTAATCGAGGTCGTATTCTTAATGGAACCCCCTATGCATCGACCCTAACTTGATGCGGAATAATTGGGGATTCATTAGGTATAATCCCGTATAAATGATCCATGTTAAAGTGTTCAAGAATCAAGTCAATCTTGAGTTAAAGGGGGTCAGGAACTCGATCTAATTAATCAATTTAGTAGCAATTGAAAATGATTTTTTTCTAAATAAATAATTTGTTTAGGGTCCGTTTGGTTTGCTAAAGAGGCCGGTGAAAGCCTGACAAAAACACTGTTTTTGTCAGGCTTTTAGCCAACAACGCCTCTTTAAGAGGCGTTTTTGGCTGAAAGCATGACAAAAACCACAAAAACAGTGGTTTTTGTCAGGCTTTCACCAAGCCTCCATCTCAAACAAACGCACCCTTAGTAATTAATAGGAGGAAGACTGACGCTCAATCACAATTGACGACCGTATTTAGTGACTGGAGTGTCTTAAAGTAGAATGTATTTAGAGGAAGGAACGGGTCTCAGACAAATTATAACCACTCAAACACAAACATTCGCCCGAAAATTGAGCTCTTCTTTAAAAAAGAGAAAATAAAATAAAAATAAATAAATTACGTGTTAGGTCCCTAACATTCTGATGAGTAGTCTCAAATGAACAAAAAAACATGCAAACTTCCAAAAAAAATTTCTCACAATGGACCCCAGATCCGAAATCAAGGTCGATTACGCTCCTCTCTTCCGCATATACAACAACGGCCGCATCGACCGCTTCACCGGCAACACCAAAACCCCGGCCGGCTTCGACCCGGTCACGAACGTCACCTCAAAAGACGTCACCGTCGACTCCACCACCGGGGTCTCAGCCCGTCTCTACCTTCCGACTTTCTTGAAGACGAGGAGGCTCCCGATCCTTGTTTATTACCACGGCGGGGTGTTCTGCGTCGAATCTGCTTCTTCTCCTCCCTACCACTTCTTCCTCAATTTGCTCGTGTCACGAGCGAACATCGTCGCCGTGTCGGTTGACTATCGCCTCGCTCCTGAGCACTTGATACCCGCCGCGTATGATGATTCGTGGGCCGCGCTGAAGTGGGCGCTTGGCTCGGGTTCGGACGCTTGGTTGAGGGATTATGGTGATTTTGAACGCGTGTTTTTGGCGGGAGATAGTGCGGGTACTGGCATGCAAATCTTTCAAAAAACATCCAGTTTATGACTCAAATCTGTTCCGCTATTATTTTTGCAAATTATTCTGATAGTGGCGGAGCCATGACCCATGGAATAGTAGGGTTGATAAATTAGATAGATCTAGTGCAATATATAATTTTAGCGAGCAAGTTTCCTACCCTTTGCAAAATGTGTTGACCCTAATAAATTCTACGTATGTGAAGTGTTCTGATAGAATCTGTACTCGGGCAGGGGGCAACATCACACACAACATGGCAATGAGAGCGGGAGCCGAAGGAATAGCATTAGAAGGCATACAATTAGTCCACCCGTTCTTCTGGGGAACCGAACGTATCGGTTCAGAAACGATGTTAAAGGCCGGCACTGTCAAATTCATCGCAAACCTTTGGACGGCGGTGACCACACCAGACGTTGGGCCAGACGATCCAAGATTCAATCCAATAGCGAAGAGTTCGCCGAGCTTGAAGGGGCTGGGATGCAGGAGAGCCATGGTTTGCGTGGCGGATTGCGATCGGCTGGCCGAGAGAGGGAGGGCGTATTGTGAAGTGCTGAGGGGGAGCGGGTGGAAAGGGGAAGTGGAGCTGGTTGAGAGCAAAGGAGAGCATGTTTTTCATTTGAAGAGTCCCGAGGGTGAGGAAGCTTTGGCGCTTTTAAAGAAGATGGTTGAGTTCTTTACGCGGGGGCGGGGCCAGGATTTCAAATCCAATCTTTAATCATTGGAGTGGAAACAAAAATTCCTGTTTTTTTAAAAAATATGGATTTTAAATGGTTAAAATTGTAATGTAATGTTTGTAAGGCTGTGTTCAGTTATAAGCAGTTGAAACAAGAAGTATTTACAACATGGTTCCTAGTAAGCATTGTCGAAGCATTCTTCAATTGGAATGCAGTGGCAATTAGTATGAAGTTCCAACCACTCCCACCCATATACAACGTGAAGTGTTTAATAGTTTTAAACGTGATATCATATGTTCAGCATTTGAATTGAATGATTTATAAAAACAAAAAACAAAAAACAATTTTTTTTTTGAATTTGTTGGTGTCAGAAGTTAAGTAGTAGGATTTAGGGTTGATTTTGAAGAACTTTGGGTCTCTTAATCTCCTTTAATGGCTAATTGTTGAGCAGACGAGAGTCCTGCACACATGCAACACGTTAGAGGATCGGAGTTGGGTTCTCCGGTGGTTCCTCCGACGATTATGTTAATTGTAATGTAAAGAGAAGAAACAATGATTCAGTTCTCTTAAGTGTGCTGAATTTTGCATACAATCATGCAGTAGACAATGTGCCTATTTATACTAAATCTAGAAGGGTATTTGCATAACTTCGGCTAAGTCCATGTTTTCGGCTTGGTTAGTTGATACTTTACATGTGTCGGCAATGAGCAGTCCGAGTCACCCTTGTATTTATTGTGACGACGACATAGGGGCGCCTACGACGCTAGCGTGGTCTGATGAGTCATTATGATTCCATGGGAGGTGTAATGATGGCTTTGACCATGCATTTAATGTGATAGTGATGACTATCATTGCTAAGTTTGAGAAGGAACATCTTTCGTCTCGGTCCTTTGAGAGGTTGAATGAAGATGTCTTTCGACTCGGCCTACTGGGCAAGCACGCATCGGATATATGAGACGGCTCGAGCGAGGACGTCTTTCTAATCGGCCTTCTAGAGGACAATGAGTGAAGGCGTCTTTCGAAGTGTATAGGACTCGGGTCGAGTTCGAGACACATGTCGTCTTCTGGAGCGAGATTATATATAGGGCTTTCTGCGCAACCGTCCACCCTAAAAAATCCACTTTAGAGATCTAATTAAATCTTGGAAATCCATATATAGTTGAGATTCTAGTAACAATCATCAATAAAGTTGATTAGTTATCATAATCCTAATTATTTTGACCTTTTGGGAACGGTGGGGATTTGTTTGTTGACCCATTCATGCGTCTAAGGGCCCGCTTGAATAATGGAAGTATTAGAAGTAAGAAGTAGGTTATAGAAGTAACTTTCAAAGCTATGAAATAGGAAGTAGTGGAAATAAGTAGTGGAAATAACATTTTTTTGTTTGTTTCATATATTTTTAGAAGTAATGGAATTAGAACTTCTTCCTCTTCATTTATTTTTTTTGTTTGGATACCATTTAAAAATATTATTAGGAAGTAATTTTATCAATGAAAAGTTGTTAGAAGTAACTAATAAAGGAAATGTAATTTTATCAATGAAAAGTTGTTAGAAGTAACTAATAAAGGAAATATTAATAAAAAATTATTTATGTCATAATTAATAAAGTAACTAATAAAGGAAATATTAATAAAAAATTATTTATGTCATAATTAATATGCATTTCAACTACTTACAAGCTACTTCTGAGTATTGAGGATTGGAAAAATATTTTGGAAGTAAGGATGACACGTAGGCGCCACATAAGCATTTAGGGAAGTATTAGAAGTAAGTTTTTCAGAGAACCAAACACACTTTTTTGCTTGGAAGTAGTAGAAGTAGCCTCTACTTCTGGCAAAATTAACACGTATATTTTCTGTTAGGTTATAAAAGTTCCTCAAGACCGATTCATTTGCCTGATTCTTCGTTGCGAACCGTTGTAAAATTTTGTTTTGGAGGTTGTAAGTTATCTCGGTTTCCTCTGCGGAACCAATTAAAATAGCCTACCGCTTCGGTGCTCCATAGAGATTAGTTGGAGCAATGATGGCATATCCGTAAATAAATTCCTTAAAAATAGCTCTCACAATTCTAGGTAGATAGATTTGACGGCTATGAGGTGTTCCACACCCAAAATTGTAATTAACTATGGGTAAAAATGTTATTTTAGGAAATATAATTTATGGGAGAAACATAATTTATCATTAATTAGAATTCTTTAATTAACTATTAAAACCAAAGCTTTTCTCCGCACTTTCCATTAGAAGAAACCGGTTAGACTCCAAAAAATCTCATGAAGAGAAAGAGAACGCCATGAAAGGTACATCTTATTTTTTCTTTTTTAAAAAATTTAATTATATAGTATGATGTAGTTGTTAAGCCCTTAAATTTCTCGTTCTTCAAATCAGTAATCATTTATTTTTCTATATAAAGATAGATTTTCTTTTGGAAATAGACTGCCTAGCGTGAGGAGGGTTCAATTGGTTTCTAATTAACCCCATTCGTGAGATTGAGAAGTAAATTTGATTGAATGGAAAAAAATTGCAAACCGTGCAGGACATGTATTTTCTATCAGTATGCAAAAATAAGAGAAGCTACAATTAAGGAAATTCAACTGGTTCTTTTTTTTTTCTTTTGTACGGGTGGAACTGAGACGTGAGATTGAGAAAGAGATTTTTAAAAGACTAAAATACCATTTCTTATTTTAGCTAATTTGTTATTTTTGTCAATTTAAAAATTTTAAAAAAAAATCTATTTTTGGAACACCGAAGCAAACCTCATTAAAATAAGCACCGTAGCCCTCCTCAACGTCTCTTAACTCTCCGTCCATCAATTTCCATATATTGGAGTATAAATTAATTTTGAGTAAATTTTCTTGAAAGAATGCAAGGGTTTTCTTTCTGTAATATCGCGTATGAATTGTTAAAAGCTAGTAATGTTTAGAACTCTCTTACTATGTTTTAGGTTCATCTAAATTTTTTATTTGTTTTATATAAATTCCATGCTTTTTAATTCTTCATTACGCTTGCATTCTCCTTTTGTCTTGTAAGGACAGAGGAAGTAAGCGAGTCTGTATGATTGTATCGGATGACTTCATCATCATCTCCACGGAGTTCATCATCCTCGATCATCGCCCGGCCTCTCTCCTATCTTCTCCATTTCTTTTCCAAACACGCATAGATATACACAAGTATAATTTCATATATAACTGATAAATCTACATTAAATTATAAGATTGAAACCTCCTAATTTATCTATATATATCTAGTTCCTTAATTAGTATGATCATTGATGGAACTGTTGGACGAACCGCGACGATTAGGACGATCGTCGACCAGATGTTTGACGTTTAGATCGAATAATTTTGTCTTTCGCCGATGTACGTACGGTTTGTGTATGCCCGAGTGCAGATTGGCTTGTTTATGCTGAGGTATGAGGAACATTTATCACGGTGGAGATAATTGTGATGTTTGGGATTGTGGGTGGAGGGAGGGTACCTGGCACGTTTGTTATTGCTTAACGTTAATTGAAGATGCAAGTGAAGGAGTGAGTGGCGCTGGGTTTTTTTTTTTATTCTTGAATGTTAAAAGGGCACATGATGCTTTATTATTTATTACTAGTACAGTGCACGCGCTTTGCACGAAGTAATTAGTAATATCTTCTTTATTAAAAATAGAAATCTGTTTAAAGCAAGTACATAGGCCAAAGGCCTATGATATATATTTATACCAATCAATGTGAATAGGTTGAGTACCCAAGAGTCACCCTCACTTAATGGGGTGTTACATCACCATAATGGGTGTGAATGGAGGGATAATAAGGGGGAGACCAAATGCCTCCCTCATCTCATAATACTCCTCCTTATCCATCCATTACCTTGAGTTTAGCTTATGAACACTTCAGGGTTCGTAAAGCTAATGGGGTGGATACCTCTGGATCCAGAGTAAACTTGTTTGCCTCGTTAAAACCTTAGCTGTGGAAAACCCAGTGGGAAAAAACCATCAGCCTAAGGAAAAAGAGTACAACCCATAGGTTACTCCCCCTGAACCATACAAGCTTCAGGCTTGTAGGTCTTTCAGATGTCTCATCCCTATTCCTTTTACAAGTTTTACAAAAGTACATCTAGGCAGAGCCTTAGTGAACAAGTCAGCTAAATTATTACATGATTGGATCTGCTGTACTTTAACTTGCTCCTCCTCTTGAAGATCGTGCGTCCAGAAAAACTTGGGAGATATGTGCTTCGTCTTGTCACCCTTGATGAAGCTAGACTGAAGTTGAGCAACGCAGGCTGCATTGTCTTCAAATATAGTAGTTGGCTCAAGGTCACCAGTCTTCAGGCCGGTAGACACTAAGATGTGCTGAATGACAGAACGAAGCCAAACACATTCTTTGCTGGTTTCATGGATCGCGAGGAGTTCGGAATGGTTGGATGAGATTGCTACAGTGGTTTGCTTGATAGACCTCCAGGAGATGGCCGTACCACCGAATGTAAACACAAATCCGGTTTGTGATTTCTCGTTGTGGGGATCAGACCTGTAACCTGCATCTGAATAACCAATTAAGGTGGGAGACCCACCCTTCGGGAAATATAATCCCAGGTCTATAGACCCTTGGAGGTAGCGCAGAAGATGCTTAACTCCATTCCAGTGGCGCTTTGTGGGCGCTGCACTGTATCTGGCTAGTAGGTTAACTGAAAACGCTATATCGGGACGCGTACAGTTAGCCAGATATAATAGTGCTCCAATGGCACTGAGGTAAGGTACTTCAGGACCTAGCATTTCCTCCCCCTCTTCCAGCGGACGGAAGGGGTCGTTCTTTACATCCAATGATCGAACAACCATTGGTGTACTAAGAGGATGACATTTATCCATTCGGAAATTTTTAAGTAATTTCCGTGTATATGTGGATTGGTGTAACAGGATACCACCCTTAAGGTGTTCGATCTGTAAGCCAAGACAATACTTTGTTTTGCCTAGGTCTTTCATTTCAAAAGTATTCTTAAGGCTTTCAGATATCCCAGCTATCTCTGCAGGAGATCCAATGAGATTTAAGTCGTCGACATAGACGGCGACTATAATGAATCTTGTTCCCGATCTTTTTATAAAGATACACGGGCAGACTTTATCATTTGTGAATCCTTGCATAGCAAGGAACTCACTTAGTCTGTTATACCACATTTTCCCCAATTGCTTAAGACCATATAATGATCTTTGAAGCCTAACAGAATAGACGTCCCGAGGTCTATCTGCTATATCTGGTGGAATTTTATATCCTTCAGGGAGTTTCATATAGATATCTTT